GGGGCTGGTGTGTACGGGGCAGGGGTGTACGGGGCAGGTATATATGGGGCAGGTGTGTACGGGGCTGGTGTGTACGGGGCAGATGTATATGGGGCAGGTGTGTATGGGGCTGGTGTGTACGGGGCAGGTGTATATGGGGCAGGTGTGTATGGGGCAGGTGTGTATGGGGCTGATGTGTACGGGGCAGGGGTGTACAGGGCAGGTGTATATGGGGCAGGTGTGTACGGGGCTGGTGTGTACGGGACAGGTGTGTATGGGGCAGGTGTGTACGGGACAGGTGTGTACAGGGCAGGTGTATATGGGGCTGGTGTATATGGGGCTGGTGTGTATGGGGCTGGTGTGTACAGGGCAGGTGTGTATGGGACTGGTGTGTATGGAGCATATGTATGGAGCCGGTGTTTATATAGAGCACCTCCTGCATACCAGGCTCTTGGTGGCAGCTGTGGCCCCACCTAGGGCCTCTGTCCCTCTGGAGTCTGTCCAGGGAGATGAACATGTCACGGTGACTGGCAGGCATGGCCTGTGAAAGTGTGAATTGCTAGGGGGAGTGTGGGTTCAGGGGGCTGTGGGAGGCTCAGGTTGGGGGCACTGTTTTAGGCCCTGGGGAAGCTTTTCCTGAGGACAAGGATGCTAAAGAGTATTCCAGAATAAGCTGGAGGATTCCGCCTGCCTGTCAGCCTACAGCAAGCCAGACCCAGGTACAAACCCCGATTCCCATGCACATTTATGCCAGAGCCCGAAGAGAGGTGACCAGCCCTCCACACTTGGCTGAGGACCCAGCCCTTCAGCACATGCCAGGGCGTTAGACAACTAGCTGGTGTGGGTGACACCCCTGGTACCCCAAAAGGCACTGATGCCTTTCAGCATCCATCCCTGGGGTCGCGTGTGGCCAGCAAGGCCAGTCAGCCACTCCTCTGGGCCTGTGCCAGAGCTCCAATATTTTTAGGCTGACATTTGCCAGAGCTGTGGAAGCTGAGGTGAGGGGCGCGGGCCTAGGGACTGGCCAGTGGCAGAGGCCTGGGGGCTGACCTGCGTGTGGACGATGACCCGAATGACCTTGCAGTACTTCTTCATGGCGGCGAAGTCTTTCTGCAGCTGCTTCTTGCCGTCTGTGTCCCGCCACCTCTTGCAGGCCTTGGTGAAGGCTTTCTTCTTGCTCTTGTGCCTGAGCCACACACAGGAGGGTGCTCAGAGGCCCCCTAACCGGGGCAGCTCCCCAGGCCCATACTGCCCCCATCCCATTCCCATCCCCAGCCCACCAAGCAGGGGTCCTACCGCTGGGTCTGCCCCCACCCCGGAGGCCTCGGAGCTGGTTCCAGCCACCATCTTTGAACATAGACCGTCCCTCCCTGTCTGGGACCTGGTTTCCTCCTCTGTAATGTGGGTACTCTCACTGTCTCCTGGGGCCCGAGAGCAAGTGGCAGAGGTGCAAAAACTCAGAGAAGGGGCCGGCCAGCCCTGCAGTCCAGGCACCTAGAGGCCACCCCACCTGCCACATGGCTCGGACGGCTGGTCCCACTTCTCAAGGGTATGCTGGGTGCTGTAGCTAGGCACCATGCCTCGGGCTTGGAAGCCATCCTTTCATTTTTGTTTTTGGAGACAGGGTCTCACTTTGTCTCCCAGGCTGCAGTGCAGTGGCACAAACTCGGCCCACTGCAGCGTGGACCTCCCAGGCTCAAGCAATCTGCCCACCTCAGCCCTCCGTTTAGCTGGGACCACTGGTGTGTGCCACCGTGCTCAACTAATGTTTTGTATTTTTTGGTACAGATGCGTTTTGTCATGTTGCCCAGGCTGGTCTTGAAGCCCTAAGGTGAGGTCCGCCTGCCTCAGCCTCCCAAAGTGCTGGGATTACAGGTGCGTACCGCTACCACCCGGCTAATTTTTTATTTTTTATTTTTTTAGCAGAGATGAGCTTTCACATTGTGGGCCAGGCTGGTTTCGAACTCCTGACCCCAAATGACCCTCCTGCCTTGGCTTCCCAAAGTGCTGGGATTACAGGTGCGTACCGCTACCACCCGGCTAATTTTTTATTTTTTATTTTTTTAGCAGAGATGAGCTTTCACATTGTGGGCCAGGCTGGTTTCGAACTCCTGACCCCAAATGACCCTCCTGCCTTGGCTTCCCAAAGTGCTGGGATTACAGGCGCACACTTTGAGTCTTCTCTTCCTGCTCTTCCACACCTATCATTCCAGCAAGAGCTAGAGCCTCAGGCACCAACCTCTGTGGTCCCAGCAGCCCTTGGGCGGCCCACCCAAGGCGGTGCTCACCAGTCCTTGTAGAATCGGCGCCGGCACTCATCACTAAGGTGTTCTGCAAAGATGGTCTTGAAGCTTCGGAGACCTCGAGGGGTGGCCACGTAGCCCACCACGCCCACCACCACGAGGGGTGGCGTCTCTACAATTGTCACTGCCTCCACCTCCTCCCGTTTGGAAATTTCTGGATGAGATGCAGGTATGGGGCATGAAAGGGGAGCTCCTGAAGCCCATGGGGGAGGGAGTGAAAAGCTGGGCTCACAGGGGCAGGCCAGGAGAGCATGGGGCCAGCCTGGGCAGCACTCCCCCAGAGGGTGGGGCTGAGCCCAAATGAGCATTTGTTAGTTTAATAATTACAATGGATTTTTTTTTTTCTTTTTTTGAGGCAGGGTCTCACTCTGTCGGCCAGGCTGGAGTGCACTGGGTGCAATCAGCCCACTGCAGCCTCGACTTCCCAAGCTCAAGCCATCCTCCCACCCCTCAGCCTCCCAAGTAGCTGGGACTACAGGCACTCACCACCACGCCCAGCTAATTTTTGTATGTTTTGTAGAGACAGGGTTTCACCATGCTGCTCAGGTTGGTCTGGAACTCCTGGCCTCAAGTGATCCACCCACCTTGGCCTTCCAAAGTGCTGGGATTACAGGCGTGAGCCACCATGCCCAGCTTGCATTATTTCTTACAAGTACTTGTAAATCTATAATTAAAACAACCAAAACCAGCTAGGCGCGGTGGCTCATGTCTGTAATCCCAGCACTTTGGAAGGCCAAGGCGGGTGGATCACCTGAGGTCGGGAGTTCGAGACCAGCCTGACCAACATGGAGAAACCCCATCTCTGCTAAAAACACAAAATCAGCCAGGCATGGTGGCACATGCATGTAATTCCAGCTACTCGGGAAGCTGAGGCAGGAGAATTGCTTGAACCCAGGAGGCGGAGGTTGCGGTGAGCCAAGATTGCACCACTGCACTCCAGCCTGGGCAACATGAGTGAAACTCTGTCTCAAAAATAAATAATAAAACAAAAACTGAACTATATGCATAGGTGTACATCTGAAATAATGGTACATGAAATAGACCAACAATGGCCAAAAAACGCAGCCGTCCTGGCAGGTGGTTTGAACTGAGGGCTTGGGACACCGAGCTGGCACTTGAATCTAGCACCTGCCCTTACTGCCTGTGTGCCTGGCCAGTTTCCTCACTGCTTTGTGCCTTGATGTCCGCATATGTGGGCTGGGGCCATGACAGAACCCGCCGGAAGCCCTGCCTGTGCTCAGCGTTCACCACGGTTCCCTCGTGATGGGACTGTGGCCCCGCCCAGATCAAGAGCATGAGTTCTGGTTCCCAAGAGCATGAGTTCTGGTTCCGAGCATCTGGAAGCTTCAGCCCTCCCCGTCCCGCGAGGGGCCCAACGGTGACTCACTGAGCCCCGGCCGGTGCACCTCACGCAGGGTGTGGGTCATGCCCGCCTTGTAGCCCAGGAAGGCCGTGAGGTGCACGGGCTGGCTGGGGTCATCCCGCGGCCACGTCTTCACCTTGCCCCGGTGCCGGCGGCTCCTCTTGTGAGGCAGGAAGCCCAGGTGTCCGTGCCGAGGGGCAGAAAACTTCCGGTGGGACTAGGGGGCAGAAAGGAGGTCAGAGCCGGGGTGTCCCTGGAGGTGGAGCTGGGTGATCCCAGAACCCATACCTGGGAAAATGGACTAGAGGCCCCAGAGTGAGGCCGTGCTCAGTGCCTCCCCCGTTTGTCTACAGGAGGAAAGAGGAAGGCTTGCCAAGGGGCAGCGTCTTATGGACGGGGCCTCCATAGTCACAGGCTTCCTGCCTCTATGGGCTCAGCCTGGGGTCCAGGAGGGTCGTGCCCACATTGCAGCCAAGAGCTCCTGGGGCAGGTGGCCGCTGCTATCTGTTCATTTCCAGGGCCAGCAGCCTAGCCCTCGCCCCCCTGCGGCCCCCTCCAGCCTCCCATCCCCTCACAAGCCGGAAGGCCGTCCCTCTGAGGGAGCGTCTAGAAGCCCAGCTGTCCCCTCCCCCTGGAGTTCCAGCTCCAACCCCAGCCCACCCGCCATGTCACCCTGGTCCCACCAACCATGATGGCAGATCCCTGAAGGTCAGGAAGGGGCCTCCCCGCTCGCCGCCAGAGGTCGAGTGGCAGAGCCAGGACTCACAGCTGCCAGCTCCCAGATTAGCCCCTGGCACAGTCAGCAGGGTCCCTGGTGCCAGGAGGAGGCTAGGGCGGGGCAGTGTTGGGAGTATCAGATGGGCAGCCTGGGGGGGTCACCCAGAGCCAGGGCTGACACTCCTTTCCTCAGTGGCCCTGGGACTGGGTCATGACCCTCCCAGGAAGGGACTGGCTGGGCAAGGTGGAGGCCACAGTAGCCTGGTGGGGACCTTCTCCCGGGCAGCAGCCAAGAGGAGGGGCCCGGGGCAGTTTGCTGACATGGAGGCGGAGGGGATTCCCATCCTGAGGGCTGAGAGACAGCTGGGTAAACAGCGGGGAGCAGGGCTAATGATGGGAGAGAATAGGGAGAGGGCCGGCTGCACCTTGAGGATCACCAGCACTGCACTTCAAGACTGAGATCCCTGGCTGGGAGAAGTGGCTCACACCTCTAATCCCAGCACTTTGAGAGGCTGAAGCAGGAGGATCACTTGAAACCAGGAGGTCAAGGCTGCAGTGACCTGTGATTATAGCATTGCACTGCAGCCTGGGTGACTGAATGAGGCCCTGTCTTCCTTTTTTTTTTCTTCTTCTTTTGAAGACGGGGTTTCACCATGTTGGTCAGGCTGGTCTTGAACTCCTGACCTCAGGTGATCCGCCCGCCTTGGCCTCCAAAGTGCTTGGATTACAGGCGTGAACCACCATGCCCAGCCGGCCCTGTCTTTAAAAAAAAAAAAAAATCTAGCCTGGTCAACATGGTGAAACCCTGTCTCAACTAAAAATACAATAATTAGCCAGGTGTGGTGGTTCACGCCTGTAATCCCAGCTACTCGGGAGACTGAGGCAGGAGAATCACTTGAACTTGGGAGGCAGAGGTTGCAATGAGCCAAGATCGCAGCATTGCACTCTAGCCTGAGCAATAGAGTGAGACTCCATCTCAAAAAAGAAAAAAAAAAGATAAAGATCTGATTCCCATCATCCATAAGCACTGAGATACTTTTATGGATTTACTTATTTATTTATTTTTATTTTATTTTTTGAGACGAAGTCTAGTCCTGTTGCCCAGGCTGGAGTGCAGTGGCCAGATCTCAGCTCACTGCAACCTCTACCTCCCAGGTTCTAGTGATTCTCCTGCCTCAGCCTCCTGAATAGCTGAGATTACAGGCACATGCCACCATACCTGGCTAATTTTGTATTTTTAATAGAGACAGGTTTTCACCATGTTGGTCAGGCTGGTCTCGAACTTCTGACCTCATGATCTGCCCACCTTGCCTTCCCAAAGATTACAGGGGATTACAGGAGTAAGCCACCGAGCCCAGCCTTACTTATTTATTTTTAAGAGACAAGGTCTCATTCCATTGCTCAGGCTGAAGCACAGTGATGTGATCATAGCTCACTGCAGCCTCAACCTTCTGGGCTTAAGTGCGGGACCTAATTTTTTTTCTTTTTTTGAGACGGAGTCTCGCTTTTGTTACCCAGGCTGGAGTGCAATGGTGCGATCTCGGCCCACCACAACCTCCTCCTCCTGGGTTCAGGCAATTCTCCTGCCTCAGCCTCCTGAGTAGCTGGGATTACAGGCACGCGCCACAGCAGGACCTAATTTTTAAATGTATTGTGTTGTAGAGGTGGGCGTCTCACTATGTTGCCTTGGCTGGTCTGAAACTCCTGGCCTCAAGTGATTTTCCTGCCTCAGCCTCCCAAAGTGCTGAGATTACAGGCATAAGCCACAGCATCTGACCGAATTTAAATTTTGAACTTTAGTTTTGAATGAAAAGGAAGTTGAAATATCTTTTTTTTTTTTTTCTTTTT